CTAAACACGCCAGGTATTCTGCTTGGAAACAAATGCCTGCCCCCTAGGTGGGCCCAGACACACGCAACGCTCATCTCAGAACAAAGGGTTCTCCCAAGAGACCAGGTGGCACTCCCAGGGCCTGGGACAGTTAAGACTAGACTGGACGAAGGCCTGGAGAAAATGCTGTTGGGAACAATCAAACAGTTGGGATCTAACGGCGCTTCTCTGCCACTAGCGTCCATGCTCTGCCGGTGCAGAGCAGCATGCAGCGAACTCCCTGTGGGGCTACTGAGGAGGTCAATGGTGCACAGCTGCTCGCTGCCTATCACCAGGGCGTTTATTCGCGCTCTTCCCAGTCTGCGTCATTGCCTGCAACTACAGGGGACGCCTGGCTGTGTCACCACTTGGGCTATGCAGCCGCGCAGACCAGGGCCCGTCACTCAGAGGTGAGAATGGAGAAATGCTACATCCTCGGCAGCGTTCAGACGCACAGGACTCCCGACTGGCTAACTCAGCGAATCGAGCTCCCCACTTACCCTCATGCCACAGGAGAGGAGCTGATGTCAACTGCCAAACTAGGGCACAGGAAGCAGGGGGTGGGGAATAGCCAGCAGCCTGGGAAGGTGGCAGGACAGCCAAGCCCCCGTACAGTGGTGACAATGCAGCACCGCACTGCAGTCCCCACCCAGGGCACTGTATGTGGGTCTAGGCCTTAGGGTAGGTGTGAGCAAACTTTTTGGCCTGAGGGCCACATCTGGGAATAGAAATTGTATGGCGGGCCATGAATGCTCACGAAATTGGGACTGGGGTGCGGAAGGGGGTGAGGGCTCTGGTTGGGGGTGCAGGCTCTGGGGTGGGGCCAGGAATGAGGAGTTCAGGGTGCTGGAGAGGTCGCTGGGCTGGGGTGGGAGGGGAGGTGACGGCTCCGGCTGGGGATGCAGGCTCTGGGGTGGGGCTGGGGATGAGGAGTTTGGGGTGGAGGAGGGTGCTCTGGGCTGGGACCGAGGAGTTCGGAGGGCAATCAAGGCTGGGGCAGGGGGTTGGAGCGTCAGGGGAGGCTCAGGGGTGCAGGATCCAGGGAGCGCTTAACTCAAGTGGCTCCCGGAAGCAGTGGCATGTCCCTTCTCTGGCTCCTATTCGGAGGTGCGGCCAGGCGGCTCTACACGCTGCCCCATCTGCAGGTACCGCCCCTGCAGCTCCCATTGGCTGCGGTTCCTGGCCAATGGGAGCTGCAGGAGCGGTGCTGGGAGGGTGCAGCATGAAGAGTGAAGCCTCCTGGCTGCCCCTACGCATAGGAGCCGGAGCGGTGCCATGCCACCGCTTCCAGGAGCTACATGAAGCGGCTCCCGATCCTGCTCCCTGGCTGGAGTGCCGGAGTGAGGCAAGCCCCAGAACCCGCTCCCCAGCGGGCGCTCGAGAGCCCAATTAGAATGGCTGGTGGGCCGGATCCGGGCTGTAGTTTGCCCACCCTGCTTTAGGGACTCCCAGAAGGAGGGTGTCTCCATCTTGGTCACCTACAAATGAAAGGTACAAGGTCGCTCCATAACTGTTACTATGGAAACTACCATGGCGATAACGTAACCAAGTAGACTGCAGTACAGATCTGACACTGGACAGCTGTTACAATTCGGAGGTGGGTGGAAAGCTACCAGCATCTCCTTCATAAGGCTAGGGGCACAGACCGGCCCCTCGGGGAGGAACGGGCTGAGGCAGCACCCCGACAGAGGGAGGTGCAGTGACGTACCTGCCCTCCATGCCCACATGGGCACAGCTCACAGCTCTGCATGCCACATGGCAACTCCCCACCGGGGACAGACACCAGACCCAGAGGAGACTTTCCGCATCCCCCGCAGCACAACCCTGCCCACAGGACTCAGCTGCTCTTCCAAGTTTAGAGCTGAAAGGAGCCAGGTAAGGAACTTTCCACATGGCTCCTCCTCCATTGGTACTGCCCCCGGGTGAGGATTAAACAGAGACCCCCTCCCCCACCAAGAAATCCCCTCCCATCCTCCCACAGACTGGGCCGGGGCCTTACCGACACCCACTGGGATGGGCCCCAGCAGCACCCGCTTGTATTTGTTCAAGCTCTCATCGTCCTTGTCCAGCTGCTGGATCTCCTGGAGGGTCTTCTTCTCCGGGGCCCTGTACGCCAAGTCCACGTCATCCATCTCCTCCTCTAGGGGAGGCGTCACACCGTCCTTGTCTGCCACGATATCTGAGGGGAGGAGAAGCCAGTCAGAGCAAGGAGGGACCGACAGCCTCCTACGGGAGAGCCCCACGGCCGCTCACCCACCAACCAGGTGCCCATCCCTGGGGCTGGACACACTGGTGTTAGCTGAGGGGTGGGAAAGGTACCCTCCCCAGGGCACCTGAAGCCTGCTGGAGAGAGGAACGGTGCCAGGGAGAACAGGGGTGGGGAGTGGCGGTGCCAGGGAGAATGGAGGTGCGTGGGGTGGGATGGGACAGGAGTCTAGAGGAAGCAAGGGGCCAGGTTTGCCCCTTCCCCATGGCAATTTTCTGCTCACACCCTGTCCCACAGGAACAAAGTCATCACTCCAAGAGCAGCCTGGGTGGAGGAGATAGCCTAGTCCTTGGAGCTCCACTCTGTACCGCCCCGCCTCAGCCCCAGCCACCCCCCATGCATTGCAGCCACCGGCAGGTCTGTGTATTGCAGCTGCAGAGCCATTCTCCACCCTCCCTTGCAAGCGCTGGCCTCACCCGCAGTTCATGGAAGTGTCGGGCAGGGCAGCCAGAGATGAGTCCCGAGTTCATTTGTTTGCTTTTGGCTGCACCAGCAGTTGATCAGCCCATCAGCACCCTGCCTAATCACAGCAGGGCCACCAAGCGGGGCGTGGCCATACACACCCTCCCCCATGGCCACCGAGCGGGGTGCAGGCCCCCCCCCCATCCTGCATGGCCACCTAGCAGGGGGCCAGACCCATCCCAACAGTCCCACATGCCCCAGACAAAGCACATCCCTCAGACCAAGGGATAAAATGCAGCCACCAGCCTCAGCTGCCAGGACAGAGCAGAGCAGAGATGGTCCCACAGGAAGAACCACACAGGCCTAGAATCATAGAATATCAGGGTTGGAAGAGACCTCAGGAGGTCATCTAGTCCAACCCCCTGCTCAAACCAGGACCAATCCCAACTAAATCATCCCAGCCAGGGCTTTGTCAAGCTGGGCCTTAAAAGCCTCTAAGGATGGTGATTCCACCACTCCCTAGGTAACCCATTCCAGTGCTTCACCACCCTCCTAGGGAAATAGTGTTTCCTAATATCCAACCTAGACCTCCCCCACTGCAACTTGAGACCATTGCTCCTTGTTCTGTCATCTGCCACCACTGAGAACAGCCGAGCTCCATCCTCTTTGGAACCCCCCTTCCGGTAGTTGTAGGCTGCTATCAAATCCCCCCTCATTCTTCTCTTCTGCAGACTAGATAACTGCAGTTCCCTCAGCCTCTCCTCGTAAGTCATGTGCCCCAGCCCCCTAATCATTTTTGCTGCTCTCCACTGGACTCTCTCCAATTTGTCCACATCCCTTCTGTAGTGGGGGGACCAAAACTGGACCCAATATTCCAGGTGTGGCCTCACCAGTGCCGAATAGAAGAGAGCCAGGCTAGTCACTGACCAGACCCTGGGAAGGACCACGTGCAGTTCCTAGGGACGCCCCAAGAGCACGCTGCAATCCCCCTTGGGAGGGGCCCAAGCTGGGCCATGAGCTAGGATCTAGTCACTGCAGATGGGGATGAAGGAATTTCCTCACCCCAGTCCCACGTCCAAGGGCCCGGTGTGCATGGGAGACAGCGCCCTGAGTGCCCACGCGGCTGCTCTCCCCAAAAGTGATGGGAAGGGGCCACACTCCCCACAGCTCAGCCTTGCAGCCAATTTGTCAGCCTACAGGTAAAGTCTCTCTCCAGCTGCTGGCCCCTGCCGCCCCCGGGCTCCGCATCACGCCAGGCTCTCGCCATCTCAGCACCACCAGCAAGGGGGTCTGCAGGGTAAGCGACGCCTCCAGTGATACCCAGGCTGCTCTGTGGCCTCAGGTGGCAGCACAGGGTCACTGCAATGTGCGGGGGCTGACAGGGACCGCAGAGCCCCAGCACGAGGGACGGGAAGAGCCCTGAGAGACTCCAGCTGGAGGGGATCTGAGCGCCCAGAACCTGGAGAGCCGCACAGGACTGCCTAGTGTCACCCAACTCCCAGCCTCGTAAAGAGTCGGTGCCTCGGTCTATCACACTGTGAGACCGCCGCACCTCCGGTGCCACCCCAGCCCCAGAGCCAGGCAGGATTCAGGCTGCTGCATCAGGATCTGACGTGGCACTCCAAGGGGATCTAGCCGTCCATGCTGCTGTGAAGCCTAGCTAAGGCTCAGAAGCGGGGAGGAGTCACCCTCCCCCAGCCCAGCAGGGAGCACTCACAGGCTAGTTAGCACCTCAGGGGTGCTGTGCCTTGCACTGGGGGGCCCAGGGGTACTTCTCAGCAGGACAGGCACCCAGCCCAGGCACTCTGGAGCAGGCTTGTTTGAGACACCAGCAGCCCCGGGTGCCCACGCTACACATTTGCCACCCTGTTTAAATAGCAAACATTCAGTCTCCTCTTCGGAATGGTACAGCAACGGGAAGGTAGCTGGGGAACTGGCTCCAACCTGACGTTGTGTGACCCAGAGCCAGGAACACCAGTGAGGCCAGTTTGCAGCAAGCAGCGCCCAGCGCCAGGTTTGACAGTCTGCCCTGATCTATTATTTGTATTACCATACTCTCCAGCCATGGACCAGGAGCCTACTGTGCTAGGCGCTGTGCATTATTTATTACATGTATTACAGTAGCATCCAGGAGCCCACTGTGCAAGGTGCCGCACTTTAACTATTAGATGCATTATGGCAGCAGCTAGGTGCCCCAGCCACGGACCAGGAGCCCACTGTGCAAGATACTGTACAAACAGATCTAGTCTCCTGTGTTCCTGAATCATCCAAGAGGAGTTTAGCACTTCCTTGAATTGATCCTCTCTTTCCAGGTACTCAGCAAGTTCTGCAAATAGTCCCCAGACTACACAGCACAGGGGAGTGATTCACTGCAAGTGTCCCGCCTACACAACTCCAGCTGCGCTGGTCAGCTTTGACCGGCCCCATGAGGATCCCGTTCCACCAGTGGAGCTTAACTCAAGAGTCAGTTTGCAGGGCCAGTGCTCTCCTCAATGTGCCCCATTTGCTGCACGCTTCCTCGCCAGTGATTTGTAGAAGAATCCCAGGGTGAAGTGTGTGGGGGTCCCCTCCCAGCTGAAACACCCAGTGCAATTGTGCAGAGAGGGCTGGGCAGCAAGGCTTGGCCTTTGCCCTTATAGCACCGACATCGAGCCATTCCAGCAGAAACACTAGGAAGGCTGAGCTGTGACAACGTACTGACCAATCCCTTCACCAACAACCCATCTGCTTGGAAGCAGGGAAGTGAACCGTTCAAGACATCACAGTTCCCACCCAGCCCACCCACGCTTACCAAGCACAAAGCACTGCATTTGACACATTGCCTTTGCAGGTCGGCTTTAATTTAAGCTCTGCCAGCTGTGACACGACAGCCCTAGCCCTGCGCATCTGTCTGATTTTACAGACTCAAGACATTTCATCAACAAGCTGTGAGCAGCTCAACTGACCTTCCCACCCTTCGTAGTTCTCATTCACACACACAAACACCTAAGGTTGCCAGGAGAACCTGAACGCTGTATTTCCAGACGTCTGTGCAATCGAAAATCTGAGTCTTCAATCCGCATCAATTAACAGCTTTTGGCAGACACAGAAAGCGTGTAAAACCTGAATTAATTCCACTAATTAGAATCTGGTTTTTGTTTGTTTTTTCCCCCCCAAATTTCCCATAAGCGAAGCAGGTACCTAGCACCACTCAACAGCCACTCCATGCTAAGAGCTGGGAGCATGTACGTTGTTAAAGGAGAAACACCCGGGACAGATGCATGGGAGATGCCTACATTGTACAGCCGCTTGGAAAGGAAAGTGAAATTGGCTCAGCATTTTCCTCCAGAGGCTTCACTCCTGTATATAGAATCATAGAATATCAGGGTTGGAAGGGACCTCAGGAGATCATCTAGTCCAACCCCCTGCTCAAATTGTCATGGTGCCGGTCACATGCCCTGCTAGACCCTGACCATTTAATTTCCTACTGGATTGATGACTGCACTAGCTCACTAGTCATACCCAGTCAGACACTGCCTGCAGCCATGCCTGGGGCACCAGCCCTGTGGGGAAGGACCTGGACAGATGAAGAGCAAATGCTGCTCCCCTCTTTACACGACTTTCGAGGACAAAGAGGGGCTCATGCAGATACACACAGCAGTGACAGGGAGCCTGCCTGGACTTGGATTTAGTAGCACACAGCAGAAAGCACAAAATCCCTTCTACTTATTTCAGTCAGGAGTAGGAGCCCATTGCACCAGCAGGACTGGGAGAATGGGAGGGTTACCAGTGCCTGGAGGGGACCTGGGAACTCCAGCTGGCTTTAGCCTTAGGCCAGCAGCTTGGACAAGCTGCATTTACTTAGGGAAGTGTCGGAGGCACAGCTGGAGGCAGTGCTGTGCCCAGGACAACCCTGAGCCTGCCTACTTGTGGAGGGACGAGGTGGGAGAGGGAATACTGTTTACTGAGTCAACTTCTGCTGGTGAGAGGGAAACTGTCAGGCTTCCACAGAGCTCTGGGTCTCCTCACCCCCCTTGTCTCTCTAGTATCCTGGGACCCACCGGCTACGACTACACTGAGTGCTCCTGGGCTGGCAATTGGTGGAGCTGGGGCTAGAGCATGGTGGGAGAGTGGGGGGAACCCTGCTGTGGGGTGCCCGAACACTGCCGATTTAGTTCCTTATGACAAAGGGTGAGCCTGGTTTCCAAATGAGCTCATCTCACAGGCGGCTCCTCCCTCCCCTACCACCTCAGACCCACCTGCATGGATAGCTGGGCTACGGTCTGCCCAACCCCCTCTTTCCCAGTGACATAGGAAAGCTGCTAGCCTGGCTGGGTAGGGCCAATTGCTGCAGCCTCTGGTCTAAGGGCTCTGCCAGGAGGCTGGGGTGCTGCTAGGACTCAGAACGTGGGGGTGGGAGGACAAAAATCTCTGGATTGAAGTCTGAGCCCAAATACCACTGCTGCTCGCCGCCCAGCACCCTGCAAATCCCAGCACACACCCCCACCCGTACCCTCACAGCTGCTGTGACC